ATCTATCTATCTATCTATCTATCTATCTATCTATCTATCTATCTATCTATCATCTACTATTTTCATATTTATTACTATATATAGCAGTAGTGTACATTTAATCAATTAATAAAAGAGACCATCTCTAAGAATGACTGCCTAAGAAGAGTTATTCTTCACACATCTTAAAATTTGAAAAGGAATTTTTTTAGCTCATAGAAAAAAATTACAATAAGGTACTTATAAAAGTGTTTCCAATGCACAAGGCTGTCATCGCACATACACAGGTGTTCAATGAATCACTGTATAAGAACTATTTTTTAAAAAATCATTAAAACATTGTTTTCATAAGTTTAAAACAAATTAAAATAAATATGAATAAATATAGGCCTGGTTACACATACCCAAAATTGGGATATTGTAACGTTATTAATGAGAATGTAACACGGGTTGACAATACAGCTCAACAGGCACTTGGCTGCCAAGCCTGAGTTCTATCTCCAGGACCCACATTATGAAAGGAAAGAACCAACTTAAGTTTCTCTCTGACCTCCACACAAAATCATACCATTATACATGTGTGAAAACACACAAACACACACACACACACATAAATACACACACACTAAATAAGTAATAATTTTTAAAAGTAAAATTGTATATAAATGTAGTAAAACAGAAAGAAAAAATCAAGCACATAAGACAAATGTGAAATTTGTGTGTGCTTTTATAAAAAAGTGTATTAATGAGAACTATCTGAAAAATCATGGATCAATATGTTAAGATAGTAATAGAGAGAAATAGACATTAGGAAAAGCAGAATTTGACTTCCTAATTTTATCTTCTTTTTATTTCATGTTTTTCCATGGTATGAAATTAGTTTTATTATAATAAATTAAATGATTTTGTAAAACCTTAGAAAGTGGAAATAAGACAGGACACTAGGTAATTATAGTAGAGGTTATTTTCATAAATAGAGAAAGCATGATGAAGTACTTCACAGAATTTGCTGTTGAATGACAGATGCAAACATCACCATGTTACTTAGGCTAGGATTCACTGTCATTACAGTGGCTGGTTCTGACTTGCACACCCCATCTTGCCAATGCCTTACCAAAAGCTTTAGCATTCATAATACATAGTTTCAGTTTGCTCTCTTTCTTGGTGATATTGTTTTCTGAACATTGCTGCTTTAGAATTAGTGCCAAATCATGAACAAGGTGGAAAGCAACTCTCCAGAGATCTCACAAAAGCAACATTTATCTCACAAGAAAGATGGAAGTCTCATATTCAGGGAGAGATTTTCTCCATTCCACTCTGTCTGATTTAGAGTGAGATTCCTTACAGATCCTAACAAAACATGCTAGCAGTCTCAGTATTCTGGGTTGTGAGTTTCCTCTTTTCCTCAACCAAGTTTGTTGTTGTTGTTGTTGTTGTTTTGGTAAGAAGTTGAGAGTAACTGCTTTAGTGGCTATCAGCTAGATGTCATTCAGAACTTTAGCCGCAGTCACCTTATGCTGTTTTGTTTCCACAGTAAGCACTGGGACCACTGTTAGTCTTGCTGACAAATGTTATTTGCTCTTTTCCTTTTATTTCTTTTATGCTACTCCGAAGCCCCATATCTTGTCTTTCAGCTTCACTCTTCTTCCTATACTACAATAAGGGATGACTTAACCTAGGATATTAGCATGAAGAGCAAACCACCAATGGCCAGATGGTTCCCCTTTATTATGAGTAAAGATTTTCCTTTGTGTTGAGGGGGATTGATATTGTGGACCATGATTTGAATAATATATAGCATCTTAAGTAATGGGGAAAAATATGTACCTGGCACATAGTAGGCACTCAGTAAACAAACATGTAGTGAGCAAAAGGGTACATAAGGTAGAATGAAATACGTGGGAGGGTAGACTCTTGAGTTTTGCTCCTCACCGCTGTAAATGACATTAAATTTACCATTACGCTAGTGAAAAGCTTGGTATATGCATTAATTAAGGTTACCATTGCTATAATAAAACACCATGAACAAAACAATTTGGGAGAGTAGCACTTATTTCACCTACACTCCCAAATAACAGTCCATCACTGAAGTAAGTCAGGGCTGGAACTCAAGCAGAGCAGGAACCTGAAGTCAGGAGCTGCTGGAGAGGACACGGAGGAGTACTGCTTACTGACTTGTTCCCCATGACTTGCTCAGCCTGCTTTATTCTAGAACCCAGGACCGCCAACCCAAGGGTGGTACCACCTACAAGGGGCTGGGCCCTCCCAAATCAACCACTAATTAAGAAAGTGCCCTATAGGCATGTATGCATCGTGATCTTATGGAGGCAGTTTTTTCCAGTTGAGGTTCCCTCATGTCCAGTGACTCTAGCTTATGTCAAGTTGACAAAAAAAAAAAAACCTAGCTAAAAGAGTATAGAAACAACATGAAACAGATAAAAATCCACATGCCAGTCACATTGTCAGAAAACAGCTTCAGACTATATTCTAGCTGTAGAAAATTTTACTGAAAAGTAGATTCTATGCCTCCTTAATTTCAGCGTAAGATGTTCTTAATTTTTAATTTTTATAATAAAGGTAATTAAAAATGTTAAAAATGGTTTGGGAAAGAGATTGGCGTAAAAATTCTTCTAGCTAGGAATTATAGGTTGATAGTTATTAAGATATAATGATTTTGTGGCTGTGTGGATTAGCATACATTCTGAAGACACCTTTCAAACTGAAATTTCTTTTTAGATTCAGATGAATATCATTTATTGTAATTATAAGAGATGAGATCCTATGTGTCCTTTGCCCAGTTTCCTCAAATGGTAATTTTTCACAAATCCACAAGAAAACATTAAGAACCAAAAAGGCCCATTAAAGATCCTTTCAGGACCCTAAAATTTTCTGTTAATATCAATACAAATCATTTACCTATTTTAAAGATTTTATTTGTAATTTCAATTACATACATACATACATATAGATAGATGATAGATAGATAGATAGATAGATAGATAGATAGATAGATAGATAGATAGATAGATAGATAGATAGATAGGATAGAGATATGGGAAGGGGTGTACATATGAGAGCAGTACTCATAGAGACCAAAAGAGAGTATTGGATCTAGACCTGAAATTACACGTTTGTGAGCCACTAAACATAGGCTCTGGGAACCAAAATAAGATCCATGTAAGAGCAATCAATATATGTTGTTAACTGCTGAGCCATCTCTTCAGCACCCCCACCCCCTTATTCTTTCTTTAAAATTTTACTAATACACTATTATTTATTAAATAAAATTTACTCACTTTGTATCCCAGCTGTAGCCCCCTCCTTCTTCTGCTCCCTTGCCCCCACCCCAAGTCACTTATAGGTCAGGTCTTCCCTTCCATCTGAGCCTAGTCTATCAGATCTCTTCATTGTTTTCCTCTCTGGCCTGGTAAGGCTGCTCCCCCCTCAGGGAGGTGATCAAAGAGCAGGCCAATCAGTTCATGTCAGAGACAGCCTCTGTTCCATAAAAATTTTAACAGTCATTGGAGTACCATGTAGTATTTCAATAATGTATACACTGTTTTATGTTTAAATCAGAGTAAATGTATCTTTCTCATTTATGATTTCTGTGTGGCAAAAGCTTTCCAAATTCTTTCTCCTGGCTGTGTGCAATATGCACTTCATTATTGTTGTATATAATCAGTAGCTTGCAAGATCTTACTGCTGTCTAAATAAGACTTAGTACTCACCTTACTCCATCGCTTCTTCCTCACTGCTTTTCCCTGGTAACACATTCTACATTCAGTTTCCTTGCTTAATTCCTGATGAGTGAGACCATGCAAACCCCTCATGTTTTAAATGTTAGAGCAAGGAAAGAAGGAGTTTCTAGAGTACCCTCTGGAGGAGCTTTGTCCCAGTAGAAAAAAAAAATTATTTTAGGAAAGACCCCTGTGCTCAGATTTTTCGGTTCTGTTGCTCTCCTTGTGGAGTTCCTGTCCTCTCCAGATCTTACTGTTTCCCACTTCTTTCCTAAAATTCCCTGTACTCTGCCCAAAGGTTGCCCATAAGTCTCATCATCTACATTGATAGTCTGCAAGGCTGAGCTTTTCAGAAGTCCTCTGTGTCAGGCTCCTGACTTGTTCCTTCTTTTCTCCTTCTTCTGATGTCCAGTCTCTTTGCCTTTCTGGATAGGAAATGAGCATTTTAGTCAGGGTCCTCTCTCTTAATTAGTTTCTTTAGGTGTACAGATTTTAGTAGGTTTATTCTATATTATTTGTCTATATGAGTGAGTATATACCATGTGCATCTTTCTGCTTCTGGGATAGCTCACTCAGGATGATCTTTTTCCAGATCCCACCATTTACCTGCAAATTTCATGATTTCCTTGTTTTTTATTGCTGAGTAATATTCCATTGTGGTATATCTACACAATGGAATATT